GCGCGGGCGGCCTCGTGGCGGCGCGCGAGGCGGCGGGCCTCGTCCTCGGCTTCCCACTCTGCGTTCGAAAGAGTTCAAACGCACATCATGACAGCTAGGATCATCATCAACTGATCAAGCAGCGCGATCGCTTGGGCACGGACTGAAGCATACACAGCATACACACAACAATACCAAACACTTGCAAAAGATTAGCCTCCACAATGCATTGCAACTGCAAAAAGTTTGTGGCCCATAGCAGGCGGTTTACATCAAACAGGCACGCACGTCCTGCTGCGACACCAGACGCGGGGCTGTGCCCCGCCCCGTGCAGGCGTACCCGGCGCCGCGCGCGCACCCGCCATCTTGCGCCGCGCCCCCGCCTCTGCCGCCGCCTGCTGGGCCGCCGCCTGGTCCTGGAGGCCGCTGGCGGCCGCTGACTGGACAAGGTCTTGCTCCAGGGCCCACAGCCGCTGCTGCGCCTGGAACTCCAACACCTGCACGGCGTTTAGGGGGTTCAAACTTTGGAACTGCAATGTGCAAATTTGGAAAAACTGTGATTTGCTATGTGCAATACTTGATATTTTAATCTAATTAAATCTGCACCGTGCAAGCCTGCGGTTTTCACATTGCAATTGTGCTGCAAATTATGTCATCTGCACGCGTTGACTTTCTCCGCCCCCTCGGGTGGCAGGCAGCCAGCTCAGCTGGCACCGCAGGCGGCCGCAATCAGGGCGGTCCACCGCCAAATCAGAGATCCACCGGGCCCCGGGTTCAGATCACACAGATCTGGACTCAGGTCTCCATCGTCAGATCACCTTCAGGTCCTCTTCCTCCTGCCGCGACTTGAGCGCGTGCGCGGCGAGGCGCCGCCTGTGGGCGAGGTCGTCCCGCAGCGCCGCCAGCTCGGACCGCCATTGGTCGCGCATGCCCGTCAGGCTCGCCTGTTGCATATTGCCGGCACGCGTGGGGGTGCAACGGATAGTCAGGCGAGTGGACAAATGAAAGTCATGCGGCAAATCGAGGCGCGCCGGCCCGCCGCCAGGGCGGGGCGGGTCGTCGCGTTTGTATGAAGTGGGGTGGTCAGCCATTGCGCCCCGTGTCGGCCGGCCGCTTCCAGGCCTGCGGCTGCCGAATCCTGCTCATACAGACATCACACATGCGCCCCATATGCCGCGAGCGGCCTCTCCCGCACCCGCACCCATGGTTACACCCCCTCGCGCTCATGGCTCCGCGCCCGCACCGCACCCAAACCCATACATCGACGAACCCTCCAAAACCCCACAGAGTCCTTCCTCATCCCAAAGCTGCCTCAACGCGGACACGCGGCCCTTTCCCGTCTATCAATTCTCGCCGCCGCGGGCGCCCCACCTCGTAAGCGCGCTCGGCAGCTTCCACCTGCAGCAGCTTCTGCTCCTTCGCCCTGTCGTCCAGCCGCGCCAGCTCGCCCGCCAAGGCGTCTTCTGCAGCGCGCGCCGCCGCGCGCCGCTGCGCCTCGAGGGCCGAGAGCTGCTGCCTCTGCTCGTCCCCCGTTGCGCGGCGCGAGCGGAGGTGCGAAGGGGGACGGGTGATCAGCCATGTGTGTACGAACACGCGTATGTGAGGTTTTCTGCGCGCCGCGTCCGCTGCTGATTGTTTTGCTTCATTATGAAAGGTTAAACCCCTTGCATGCGCCCGCTTTTCTGCGGTGCATGCAATGGGTACCAGTCTGCAAGTCTGCAGAGCCCGCCGCGCACCTGCACAGTCAGCGCCTCGGCCTCGAAGGCCACCTGCTTGGTGCGCTGCTCCAGCTGCATCACAACCTGCGCGCAGCGGGCAGCAGCGCGGGCGCGCACTCAAACGGGGTCCCCGAGCGACCGAGCGGCCACGCCCTGCCCTGTAGGTCGCACACACGAAGCGTGGCATTGGAGGGGCACGCTGCTGCTTGTGCGGCTTTGCCCAGCCCCTTAAAATTCGCACGACCCAACATTCCATTCCGAGTGCCCCAGCTGGTGTCTTCTGATTGACCCAGCCTGAAGCTATTTGGGCAAGCGGCTCTAGGGGTGAACCCTAACCCCCCTAAACTCCGAACCCCGCACCGGGCCTGGACAGAGCGAAGCGGCACACCCCGGGGTCACCTCGGATGGCGCGCCTGCCCGCCAGGCCTATGCACCCACCTCCCTGCGCCTGACTAATGCAGCCTCCGCCTCCTGGATGCGCCGGCGCTCCGCCGCCTGCAGCTGCACGGACGTGACCGGGTACTCTGTGGCGCCAATGGCAAAAGGTGGTGACGGGCACGGGCGAGGGAGTGCAAAATCGCGCTTTTTAGGTGAGATGTAATGACGGTGCAGTAAAAATTGTAAGGCCTTGCGCGCCCAAGCAGATGAGATGGCCGAGGGGTGTTGAAGCGCATGGCAGAGCGCGCGAGCAATACAGCAGCTGCAGAGGCGCGATGCGAGCATTGGAGAATCCGCGTGCAAGGAATCAAAGCGGTCAGAGGATGAGCCTCAACCGTCGTGCCTTTCACCTGTGAACTCGGGGTAAGCCGGCACCCCCTGCGGCAGCGCGCGCGCGCCGGGCGGCGCCACCTGGATGTGCTCGTGCGTCGCCTGCTGCAGCCGCAGCGCACGGCGCAGCAGCTGCGGGGCAGAGCGGTGCGGTGGGAGAGGATGCGTGGGAAGTTCAATCGCCAGCCTTTGGGCAGCCCTGTCGGTCTGGGTGGCCGCAGGAGCAAAGGGGCCCATTTCCAAGGCAGCAGACGCACCGATCCTAGTCGGTCATGCCCCATTCAAAGCCGTGATTGACCGAAAGCACGACGTCGCACACCCAGATCATGGGTTTTGGTCAAACTTCTTGGTCAAACCACACCTTGTGGATGTCCACGGCTTTGGGGTTTGAGAAGAACCGCTCCAGCGCCACCTCGTCATCAGCCGCCGTCACCAGGGACCTGAGCAGTACCGGTGATGACACCGCGAATTAGCATCACTTGGCGGGGTGCCAGGCGGGTCGGGGTCGCAGGGTGGCAGGGGTTGCGGGTGCCGGCGGGGCCGAGCGGGGGCCGGACACCAGCTCTCACAGGTGGAGGGTGACACGGGTTTCTTGCCCAGCAGGGTAGCTTGCAGGCAGGCTACGGCGCCGCAAGGCTGGTCAACCGGGAGCTGTCAACGCAATGCAGCACCAGCCCTCACCAGCATTTTCCACCAGTCCCGCATACAAACACACACACGCACGCCAGCACGCGCGCTCACAAGCACCCGTACGACGACACATAAGCACAAATGCACGCACACATGTGCGTTTCCAAACACGCACACTGACGACGTGCTGTATGACGCATCCTGACCTGAAATGTATCAGGTAGGCCGCCAGCAAATGGTACATGAACTGGGGTCCCCTGATGACAGGATTGGGCAAGGTGCCGGCAGTCAAGCCGCCCTCCTTCCAGCTGCCCTCGCCACATGGCAAGGACAATCGACCGCGAGCGCGTCCCCCCGCTCATCGCCCGATCGGGCTACAGTATCCCCCGCTGCACAACGCCCCACACTTGCGGCGAGCCTCGCGCGTGCACACGGGGAAAAACAGTCGGGACGTCCGTGCTCGAGTGCTTGAGAAGCAGTAGCGGCAGCATAGCAGGCTGAGCAAACGAGCCAAACGAGCCAAACCAGCCTGCGCCCCCCTCACCCACCATGCCAGGCAGTGGTCCCAGGCCGCCAGCCAGTCCTTTCTGTCCACAAACAGGTCTGACAGCAGCCCCGACAGCTGGTGCCACAGCAGGCGCAGCACGGCCACCTGCGGCGCAGGCGCGCGTAGCGGAGGGTACGAGACCACCACGAAGCCGGCGGGAAAAAAAGGGAGCGCTTTGCCATGGGAGACACGGGCGCCTTGTCGCTCGAGCGCCTTGGACGATTGCCAAGGCACAGGCTGAGTCAATCTCTGATGGCGGCCAGCGGGGCAACCAATAGCAAGTCATGTGTCGACCAAGGTTGTGGATGAGCAGCGCAGTCGCCCCACCTGCAGGTCTGGGCGCATGAGGTGGGCGCCCAAATCTGGGTCATGGTGGCGCAGCAGCAGCTGGGGTTGGGGGTTGGGGGAGGGGGCGGCGGAGCCAGATTGAGGTTTCTGGGCGATGCGAGGCGGCGGCAGCCGACGCCATGCGCCGCAGCGCTTGCCGGGGCACTTGGGCCGTCAGCAGGGCGGGCTTGCTGACGTCTGCTGCTGACGTCATCAAGACTCATGCCATCATGACAGGACCCGCACAAGAGTTTGCTGAGAGATAACATAAGATAAGAGCAGGCGTGCGCACCATGCAGCGCCGCAGCAGGTTGACAGGCGGCGAAGGAAACGACTCGAACCAGCCGCTGGCCCAGTAAAGGAGCACAGTCGCGACCGCCTCAAACGCGCCGTGCGCGTTTGCATCAAATAGCTGCACGAAAGGGAACGCCACGCGCGGCGTCACCTCGGACTCGGCTGCGAGGAACGCCACACGTGCGCGGCAACACGCGTTGGAAGGTGAGACGAGCTTCTCACAGGGATGAGGGTGATTAGGTGTCGACGGGGATTCCTCCTGCTCCTGGCGCCGCTGCTGTGTCTGCTGCTGGCCTCCCTGCTGCTACCGTTGCTGCTCCTCTCCCTGCTGCTCCCCCACGTCCTGCTCCTGCCGCTGCTGATACCGTACCCCTGGCGCCGCCCCGCCTGCTGCTGCCCCTGCCGCAGCTGCGCACCAGCCCCCGCCAGCCGGCGAGCCGCCGTAGCGCTCCCCATCCATCCCCTCACCGAACAGGGGGCACCAGTGCGCCAGCTGCGACAGCGTCCTCTGCAGCCGCCGCGCCAGCGCCGGCCCGCAGCCGCCCGCCGCGCCGGGCGCCGCCCCAGCACCCTGCGGGGATGCGCGCCGCCGGCGCTGCTCGAGGCGCTTGGCGAGATCCGCAAAGGCCGGGTGAGTGCCTCGGTCTTCCAGGGCTCTAAACGCCGAGGTGTTGCGAGGCAGCTGCAGCAAGTGCTCCCTGGAATTGATTGCGGAGAGCATGCATGCATATGTCACTTCCAATCTGGGAGCATTAAGGGTGGAATTTGATCAGGGCGCAGGCCGGCAGGCGGCGATGGTTGGCGACGGCAGTGGCAGCGGAGCCGTGGGAGTGTGCAAGGCAGATCATCGGCATCAGCTGTGCGCACGAGCTCATCCAATGCGTGCCCACCAGATCAAAAGGCGGTAGCGCGAAGGAAACTCCCCAAACGTCACCAGCATCTCTTCGAGCCGCCGCCTGCTGACCGCCGCCACGTTCGGTGCGAGCGGCCGTGCTCGCAGCGCAACCGCCGCTGCCGCCGCCGCTGCCGCCGTCGCCGCGCCGGCCTCCAGTGCACCGCCATGGCTGCTGCTGCTGCTGCCGTGGGGGCCGCCGCGCTTGCGGCCGTCGCTTGCATTCGCGTCTAGGGTCTTAGTGTTCCCAATTTCGGTCAGCACAGGGCCCGCATATGTGTGCAGCGTGCCAGCACCGCCGCCGCCGCCGCTGCTGCCGCCGCCCCCGCCCCCGCTGCTGTCACGCGCCGCTGCCTTGGCGACCGCCGCGGCCGCCGCCCCAAGCTGCACAGGCACTGGGAAGCTTCCCTCCAGAAGCTCCGGCGGCAGCGCCGCCAGCTCGCCCGCGCTGACGAGGCGCGCCTGCTGCTGCTGCTGCTGCTGCTGCTGCTCCGACCCTCCCCTCATTGAGTCGGCCGCCCCTTCTTGCTGCTGCACGCTGCCACCGCTGCTGACGCAGGTGCGGGTGCGGCGGCGGGCCGCCGCCATGGATGCGCGAGCCACCGCCAGGTCATACACACGCGCAGCGCCATCGTCAGTCAGCACAACCAGGGTGTTTCCACGCTCATCCACACAGATGGCCTCGGCCCTCACCGACGCTCCCGAGCCGCCGCCGCCGCCGCTGCCGCCGCCGCCGCCAGTGCTGCTTGCCCGCGCGCCGCCGCTGCGGGCTTTGTCGGACGGCCCGAGGCTCACATCGCCCTCCAGCCGGCCCGCCTCGACATCCACGACGCACACGCCGCCGTCCGAGCACAGCACGACCGCCGTCCGTGCGTCCGGCAGCGTGTGCAGCGCGGCGATGCCGCGCCGCGCAAGAGGGAGCGCGACGCCGTGGCGCAGGCGCTGGGTGGCCGCGTCATACACGAGCAGCAGGGCGGGCGCCGTCGTCCCCACCACGACGGTTCTGCTGTCTTGCGTGACGCAGAAGCAGCTGGGGTACACCCCCGCTGCTCCGTCGCAGCCGTTGCTGTTGTGGGCGCCGGCACGGGTTGCGTCGGCGCCGCCGCCGCCCTCCAAGCGCCGCGGCAGGGAGAAGCTGCCGAGCGGCCGCAGCGACTTGGCTGACCAAAGGGTGAACGTTCCGTCGGCTGCGGCAACCACCAGCGTCTGTTCATCTGGAGAGTAGGACGCCTGCGGGCGCCACGGCGTGAGCAGCCGCTTGGTGACATGCAGGAGCAAGGACGCGGCCATCGGGGTGCTGGTCGCCTGGACAGACCTCAACGCGCTTGCAGCTGCAGCAGCAGCCCCGAACCACTGCGAGCGATGTTTACGGACAGCACTGTCTCCCCCAAGCGGGCACCACTCGCGCTGTTATTGTCGGCCAAGGCGCGGGCGCACCTGCAGCGTGCCGTATGGCGCCGCGCTGAGCAGGCGCCGCCGCTGCAGCGTCCGGAGGTCCCACAGAACGATGCCGTCCGCCGACGCGGCCGCGAGCTGCTCCCCGCCGCACCGCACGGTCAGCGACCGCACGCGCGCGCGGTTGCCAGCGAGCGTCGCGCACGCGCGGCTGGCGAGGTCATAGCAGCGGACGCCGCCGGTATGTTGCGCGACAAACAGCAGGCGCCGGTCGCGCGCCATCCACGCGGCCGCCGCGCCGGGGCCAGCGAGGGGTTCGAGCTGCGTGAAGCGCCGCCGGTGGGGCTCGAGCTGCAGCACAAATACGCGGCCGTCCCCGGTAGCTAGCGCCAGCGACCCGCCGCCCGGAGTCAACGCGCATGTGGCAAAACGCCGATACGGCGCTCCGCGCCGGCGCATGCCACCATCCTTTGGACAAGGCAGGGCCTGCACTTTGAACAGCAAGCCATACTCGTCTGGCTGCGATGCAGGGGGCAGCGAGCCCGCCTTGCCCCCCAGATCTACACTAGCAGGTCCCATGCCAGCCGTTCATATTACACATTCCATCATGTATCATAAGATGTGCCTTCTCTTTCTACGGGGGAAGGTTTGAGCCACAGATCGCAGATTTCAACAACAGACTGTGAAGCTCATACCACGGTGATGCAAAGATACCGGTGATATCAAATTGAAAAAATGATATCCTCCATAGGTTGCTTGCAATGAGCAAATCTCGGTCGTGTGTCCTTGACAAACTTCTGGCTTCAGACCCAGGCGAAGGTGGCCATAAATCGTCCTGGTCAATCTCTGCATGCTGCACACCTGTGCACATACTCCACTATGATACCTCAGGGTTCACTTGAATTTTCATATGTATAAAAAATCACAACTTTTGGTGGACATGCAACTGTATCGAGTGCTCGATAGATTGTGCAGGACTGCTGTGCTCCTGCTGCCGCTAGCGTTGGTGGGCATGGCGAGTGCCCACCCGCTTGCCCGTGGCCTATGTAATTCTCTTGTTCGGCTGGCCTGTGGTCCAAGAAAATGTTGTTTTGCGGGCTACAGATACCCTCCCTGATAGCTGCCTGGATGCCATCGACACCACGCCAAGTTGCAGCGTTGCGCTGAGCGGGAACCTGCAAAATGACCATTTTTAATTGCTCGGCTGTGGCATGGGTTTAAGTGGTGTGTATGGAACTTGTACGGCGCTGCGATGGTACACAATCAGAGGGGTGGTTGGCGGGGAGAGGCGCGGGCGGGGGTGTGAGTGCGTGCGTGCGTATCTGCGTGCGTGCGT